TCTCTCTCTGCCCCCCCCCCACGCTCACTCGCATGCGCTCGCTCTCAAAAACAAGCGTTAAAAAAAATTTCAAGATGTTTTAAGAAAAAAAAAAAAAACTAAACTAACTCCAAGTAGGAACAATACACTCTCATTAAGTTAAATACATGAATAATAGATCTACAAAAGTGAAAGACAGACACATAAGCCTATATGTCCAGCCGGTAATCCTGGAATGCCAAACAGAAGGGATTTGCGGGCTGGGATTGGAAGTACAACCCATTTCAATGAATATGCTTTTGTACTGTTTCCCTTTTACTGCATGAAGTTAACTGTTATTTCAAATAAATCCCAATCTCTGGAAGTTTAATATAAGCTCTACTTACGTGTTAGCAGCAAACTATCTTAAATTGGGCCCCACGTGCTTCACAAACCTTGAAGGACACTCTTCAGTCTGTTTGTCTGTCTCTCTCTCTCTTGGTTCTCTCTTCCCCACCTCCCTTCCTCTCTTTTCCTCCCTCTATATATTTATGTAGTTTATCTCTAGTGGCTTTTCTGTCTTTCTCTTGCTCATATCCTAGCTCAGTCCAGAAATTATCAATCTCCACTCAAGAGCCTTGGTGCAAGCCTTGGGGTGCCTGGGTGGCTCAGTCGGTTAAGCGTCCGACTCTTGATTTTGGCTTGGGTTGTGATCTCAAGGTTCCTGAGACTGAGCCCTGCACTCGGCTCTGAGCTGACAGCATGGAGCCTGCTTGGGATTCTCTCTCTCTCTCTCTCTCTCTCTCTGTCTGCCCCTCCCCCTGCTCTGGGAGTGAGACCATGTACCTGGGGCTCCTGCCCCATGGAGGTGGGCTGGCGAGGGGAGAGCCCACAGGCAGAGGGCCTCCAGAGCGATGCCTCCCAAGCACACGAGCACAGCACACTTCTGGCTTCCTCATTCCCTCCTGCTGAGTGTTGAGTCCAAGACTCCAAAATGACTCCAAGGTCTACCAGCTCCATAGGCAAAAAAACAGAATCTGGTCACATCCTCCCTGACCCTGAACCTTCTAGCTTGCTCCCCTGCTGCTTCTATTTGTGACTTTCCCTGCTGCTACTCTGAAATACTCTTCGAGAACATCTTTGTCACGCTGAACTCCGTCAACCCTGAGATCCTTCTCTAAAGCTCCTCTCTTGGGTATACAATCCAACTCTGACATCCCTTCCACAAGGTGGAGTGCAGGACAGCTGGCTAAGCCAGGCTTACCTGTGGTGCCCTGTAAACTGCCCTGCTTGGACATCTACCCATCACGGGCCTCTCCCTCTGTTCCTCCCCATGAAGATCGGTGGCCACAGCCTTCTAGAACAACAGTGAATGGCAGGGACTTCTGTCCCGAATTAAGTTGTTCTTAATTTCTCGGGTAGCCCTAAATCCCTTCTGAAGATTAAACCACAGCCTCGAATTGTGATTGGTCCTTTTGACAAGGAAACATGGCAACTGTTCCCCCAGCCTCTCTTCACAGGCAGGTAAAATGGAAAATCCATGGGCTTTGAGGCCTTACAGCCCTGGACAGAATCCAAGTTCAACTCAGCTTTATTCTGGGGCAGCTCCCTTACCACTGGTTTCCCTAGCTGTAACGGGGAATAGTGCCTACCTCAGAAGATGTTTGTGAAAATCAAATGAGTTACTCCCCTCTTTATTCCTGACACACCCCTTTCCCATTTCAGCCCTCCAGCGAAATCCACCAGACCAGCCCTTGACCCGGTATTATTTGGTAATCAACCTTAAACACAGCATATAATCTCAAAGTGTAAAGATCCCACTGCTGATAAATGCATTCAGTCCTTCCTAACAAAAGGGAAGTCTGGAAACCCTTTGTAAGCATACATTATGAGAAACCAAGCCAAAGGAAAAAAACATGGTTCTCCTTGTAAACTACAGAACCTAGAGCCGCAGCAATACTCACAGTGAGAGGTACACCTACCTGCTGCACAGAGACAAGGGTTCCATCTCTCACTGGCTTTCTTCGGTGCCCACTTACCTTTACCTTCTTTATAATGGTCAGGACTCAGGTTTCAAAACCCTCAAAGACCTCCTCCCCCATTTTTGATATGAGGAAACCAAAGGCCCAGAGAGCTTAAGTGACTTGTTTGAAGTTGCACAGCGAATAAGTGGCAAGGCAGCTGAATAACTTCAGCCCCGCTGAACAAACCGAGTAACTCAAGAAAAGCTTAGTGAAGAGGAATCACACTGCAAGGCTGTATTTCAGGGAGCCTTAGTGGACTCTAAAGATCTTCTATGAATCTCAGCATATGTTTTTATTTATTTTATTTTTATTTTATTTTAGAGAGAGAACATGAGTTGGGGAGAGGGGCAGAGGGAGAATGAGACAGAATCTTAAGCAGGTTCCAAGCTCATTATGGAGCTGGGTGCAGGGCTCGATCCCACAACCCTGGGATCATGACCTGAGCCGAAATCAACAGTTGGTTGCTCAACTGACTGAGCCACCCAGACGCCCTTCGGCATGAATTTTTAGCATGTAATACAGTGGACTACCGCACAACACAGATTTGAACTGCAAAGGTCCACTGACACGTGAATTTTTTAAAATAAATACAGCAGTTCTTTTAACGTATTTTCTCCCCCTTATGACATTCTTCGTAACATTTCTTCTCTCTAGCTTACTTCATTATAAAAATATATTATATATTGGGGCACCTGGGTGGCGCAGTGGGTTAAGCGTCCGACACTTCAGCCAGGTAACGATCTCGCGGTCCGTGGGTTCGAACCCCGCGTCAGGCTCTGGGCTGATGGCTCAGAGCCTGGAGCCTGTTTCCGATTCTATGTCTCCCTCTCTCTCTGCCCCTCCCCCGTTCATGCTCTGTCTCTCTCTGTCCCAGAAATAAATAAAAGTTGAAAAAAAAATTTTTTAAAAATATATAATACACATAACATACAAAATATCTGTTTTATATCATTGACTGTTTTATATCATTGGTAAGGCTTCTACTCAACAGTAGCCTATTAGCAGTTAAGTTGTTGGAAAGCCAAAGGTCATACATGCATTTTTGACTGTGCAGGGTGTTGGTACTCCTGACCCCCGTGCTGTTAAGGGTCAACAGTAGAAATATTTGTCAACAGGATTTCACAGATCTTGGTGGATTCTAGAACTCCTGCACTCTAGGCCAGTGCCATTCAAAGGAACTCTGTGAAAAATGGAAATGTACACTTTCTGATAATTTAAATAATTAGAACCTGAGCTCTAAGTGCCTTCTGAGCACTTGGAATGTGGTAGTGCAACTGAGGAGCTAAAGGTTTTAAGTTTTTAAACACATTTTTTTTTATAATGGTAAAATGCACGTAACGTAAAATCTCCCATCTTAACCACTTTTAAATGCACGCTTCAGTGACATTAAACGCCTCTGTAATGTTGCCACCATTGCCACCATCTGTCTCCAGAACTCTTTGCATCTTGTAAAGTGCAGCGCTACACCCACAGAACACTAACTCGCCATTCCCTTCTCCCCCCAGCCCCTGGCAACCACCAATCCACTTTCTGTCCCTATGATTTTCATACTCTAAGTATATAAGCAGAACCATACGGTATCTGTCTTTTTGTGACCGGCTCATTTCGCTTAGCATAATATCCTCAAGATGATCCATGTCTTAGTGTGTGGCAGAATTCCCTTCCTCTTGGGGCGTCTCAGTGGGTTAAGTGTCTGATTTTGGCTCAGGCCATGATCTCACAACTCGTGGGTTCAAGCCCTGCGTCTGGCTCTGTGCTGACAGCTCAGAGCCTGGAGCCTGCTTCAGATTCTGGGTCTCCCTCTCTCTCTCTGCCTCTCCCTTGCTCACACTATGTCTCTCTCTCTCTCTCCCTCTCTCTCTCTCTCTCCCTCTCAAAAATAAATAAACATTAAAAAAAGGTTAAAAAAAAAGTTTAGAATTCCCTTCCTCCTAAAGAGTGAATAACATTCCACTATATGTATAGACCACATTACCACATTTTTGTTACTCGCTCACCTGTCCGTGGACACACGGGTTGCTTCCACATTATGAATGCTATTATCAACGTGGGTGTACAAGTATAGGGGTCTCTACGAGACCCTGCTTCCAGTTCTTTTGGGTACAAACCCAGAAGAGGTGTTGCTGAGTCACAGATCATTCTCTTTGCTATGTTTGGAAGAAACGCCATATTGTTTTCTATGTCAGCTACACCATTTTACATTTCCACCAAGAGTGCACAAAGGATCCAACTTCCCCCCATCCTTGCCAATATTGTTATTTTCTGGGGTTTTGTTTGTTTTTATTTCCATTTTTTTTGAGAGCCGCCAACCTAATGGGTGCAAAGTGGTATTTCACTATAGTTTTGACTTGCATTTCCCTAATGATCGCTAACGCTCATTGTATACCTTCTTTGGTCTCATGTTTTCATCTTACTTCACTGTACTTAGGTTAAATTTAAATGGCCACACCTGGCAAGGGGCGTCCATCCTGGACAGTGCGACTCTAGACCGTCATGATTGCTGAGGTCATTTGGAGACCAGTTTAGCACAATGAGCTCTGGAGGCACATGGACCACGTCAGATACTTTCTAGCTCAGAGGACTCAGCCGGTCACTTAACCTTCCTACCCCTCAGGACCTTTGCAGACACTTTCCCCAAATGGACCACAGTCCTTGCCAGAGAAATGGGACTTACGGTTCTAGAACACAAGGATCTTTACCTCCCACCAAGAGGACCTCAAAACAGAGGGTGGACTGAGATGAACTCTGGGCCGATCTCAGCCCTCTGATATCAAGTGAGTCCGACTCTGTCCAGATTCAGACTTAGCTATTAGCCAACGGGAAATCGAAGCTACCAGACTTCCAATTCGAGAATTCCTGGCCATCTCCTTCGTGAGGCAGCCAAAGACAGACCCGCAGAGGGAGACCGCTTACGTTCTGGATGTGACGCGTGGCGCAGGCCAGTCCCGAGACCATTTTCGTGGACCGCGGCCCTTCTTCCGTCCTGGCCGGCGACCACGTGTGCCTCGGGCCCCTTACCTGATGCGGCAGTGGTGGGGGTGCTGGCCGGCCCCGGCTGCGAGGGGCTGCTGCTCTCGGTCATCAGGCACGGGTTGTTGCCATTGCTCTCTCTCTTGACAAGCAGTTCGGCAGCGCTTGGCAGCGGGATGGGGTGGCTGATCCCCAGCTCCTCCTCCTGGGCCTGCTGCCTTCTCAGAGCCACCTGCAAGCACAGGGCAGCAGGTCAGCCCTCCTGCACCCCCCCCACCCCCGTCACCTGGACAGCACAGCTGCGCCACAACCACCTGGCCCCCGTCACCCCAGGCGTGCTGATTTAGGGGCTTCAGGATGGAGGCCCGAGATCCTCTCATTCCTTGCAAAAGAGAGCCACCCCGGTACCTAGGAGGTGCAGCCAAAGTGGAAGGTGGTTTAGAGCCCATGGTAGGTCACAGCCTGTCCCTTACACCCAGGAGTATGTAAAGGAGCAGGAAATGAGCCTGGCCAGGGAGGATGGGTGGGCGGGGGGGGGGGGGGGGGGGGGGGGGGGGGGGGTGGTGAGACACCCGTAGAGTCAGCCAAGCAGAGTTGTTCAATCTGAAGAGAAGTCAGCGAGGGTAGAACAGGAAGGAAGGAGAGTGAGGTCACTCACTCCTTCTCTCCACACATAAAAGGCCGCCATGCTGGGAACAGCAACCAGCAAGATACAGCGAGATTAGAGTCCACCATCCCAAGGTACTCACTGTTGAAAAGCAGAAGCAGGAGGTGCACATGGGCAGCCACAACTCACCACGCAATGTGGCAAATACCACAGGACAGGGACACATCCACCCCCACAGCAGGACTCTGGAGACAGAGACGGCTTTGAGTGCAAGAATCAGCCAGAAGTGGTACTGGAACAGGGCCTCGAAGGACAGAATGAGGAACGCCTGGACCGGCAAGAAGGAAGGGTCAGAACAACATAGCACAGGGGAGCAGGGTAGGTGGGAAAGGCAGGGGCTGCCCAGGAAACCCCACAGGGCCCCGATCTCTGGAATGGAGGAGCATGCAGAGCCAAAATGGGAGGAAGGGGCTGGAACACCGTGTTGAAGTCCCTGGGGAAAGGAAGGGAAGGGAGAGGCTGCAGGGGGAAAGAAAGGCAGAGGACAGGCTGGAAAGAAGGAGCCGGAAGTGAGGGTGTAAGGGACCTAACCTAGGAGAGAGACTCCTCACGGTCCCTCTTCAATTTATCTGCTTTTAAATAACATTGTTAAAGGTTCGGGGGGAAAAAGTGTAAAGCAAATAGAAGTAAAGTACTTTTGCCTCCTACACGTAACAGAAGAGGAGTATTTCTGTTGAAACTGGACTATTGGTAAGAGCGAAATGAGAAAGTAAAATATCTCTACCTCAGCGGCCCAACTACAAGCCCAAAGTCGAAATCAAAATGGTTAACCAGAAACACGGTTACGATTTATATATTGTTTTAGGAAAACTGTAGTCCACATTTAGCAAACTGATTAACTTGAAAATAATTTCCCTCACAACAAGAATCCTCAACTTACAAAACAAAATCCTTAAATAAGATAAAACGACTAATCTTAAGTCTTGGATTCTCCATTAATAACTAAGTTTAGAAACAGAATATGAAAGATTTCACGGAAACAGCAGCAACAACAGCAAAAAATACCCACAGATCTCTGAAATACGTCAATGCATGCTTATACCCCAATTTACACAAATCCCACGCGTGCACAAAATGCACAGGGTGTTTATTATATACACCATAAACTAAGGACACTGTTATAAAGACCTCTCAAATATTTTACTTACTTTTTTAAGTTATTTATTTTGAGAGGGAGGGAGAGAGAAGGCGACCAGGAGACGGACAGAGAAGACCTCTCAAAGATCTTAAAGAAATGTTATTTAATCCAGAAAGGTGGGGCAATTGATTAAAACACTACCACTTGAAGGTCATATTTAAGTTCAATTTCACACATTCAGAACGAAAAGAATGGCTGTTATGGGAAATTTTAAAGGATTTCATCTAGCACAGTGCAAACTTTCTGGTGCAGAAAATGCTGAAGTTTCATATTATAACAGTAACCCTGCGTCGTTTTTGTTTTTAACATAAGCAAACCGGCTTTTTCCAAGTTGGTGCCCCTTTTAATAAGAAAGCTTATTCAAAATGAATGGCCCTATTTCAATACAGATTTTTAATTATATTTTGAGGACAATTCCCCTCTCAAGCATACTCTCCACACTAAATATTTAAGCTAATAACTAAACGTTCAGAATATTTTTCTACCTACAAACATAACTTCAATGCCCCTAAGTCTTCCTCAGTAAGCTCACGGGGATGCATTTTAACCCACCATCAGTGTTCTCTCTTCACCCACTCCAGATTAAGCTAAAAATCCATAAGGAAACGAAGGAAAATAACCTGCGTGTCCACTTGCGACCCGTGAAGGCAACATACAGCCAATTTGAGACACATTTTCAAAATTCAGACGGATATAAAAAAGCACAGTCTTGTTAAACCGCTTATAGGAGTTCTTCTCCACGGAGGATATCTACACGATCCCAGTCAAAAGTAGCGCATCGTTAGTAAACATTTCTTTGGTATCTTTTAATCTTAAATAAACTGTCTTAAAAGGATGAAACAAATTTTAGCTGGAAAGAATGTATATTATTCTCCCCTAAAAATCCTTTCAAGATACCAAGGACGCTAACTATTTCCGTTGAAGACGCTAAACTACTGTCCAGCTTGGGGTGCTTTAGAAAAAAAAAAAAAAAC